CGTACTAATCTGATGTTATCTTTGGTGACCTGAATTTCGTAACCATCGTCAACCAATTTAGCTACTGATATAAGATTCCGACGCAAGCTGGGAACGTGCAAAGTTTCCCTCAGTTCTAGAACTTGCGTTTGACCTTGTGACGAGACTGTAACCAGCGCAGTTCCGGAGCCTGTTACTTTCAGCACTCGCGCTCCGCCTAGCCTAACTTCACGATGAGACTCGAAGGGTTGATAGTCGACCATCCATCTACGACTTGAACACATGTGATGGGTCGTTCCGCTATCAACTAGGAATTCCTCACCTAAGTCGTTGAAGTTCACCTCAGCCAGTTCCACATTGAGGGCTTCAGAGAAGTTGGCTTGTGGCTGATTCTATCGTTGGGGCTGGTTTCTTCCGCGGTTGTTGTTGTTGCGATTCCGATTTCTGTTGTTGTTGTTGTTTCGGCGTGGGGCTCTGCACTGGGCCTGCATGTGGCCCTTCCGGTTGCAATTGTAGCACACGACTTCTGATGATTGTGTAGACGTCGTTCTACGTCGCGAGAAACTTCGTTGGTAGTTTCGTCGAGGGGTGTTGCGGTTGATGTTGAGTCGGGAGAACATAGCGGTTGCTTGATTGTCATTGGCACCGCGTCTCACTGCCTCAGCTTGGATGGAAGCCGTCAGGATATCCAGTTGTTTATCCTTGTCGGTACGGGCACTCCAAGCTTGCCTGAAGGGTTCCCAGGACGCTGGCAGAGATTCAAGCAGACGGGAAGTGGTCAGGTCATCATCGAGCGCGAATCCTGACTGGTTCATCTCGTAAACGATCTTCTTGTAGTTTAAGAGATTCTCTGACACAGTCGATCCGGGCTGGTATCTGTAGCGCAGGAATTTGGCGACGGACAGGTTCTTCTTGGTGCCGTCTGATTGTTGGAATCTGATTCGGATTCTTCTCCAAATCTCCTGGGCTCCAATGTCCTCTGCGTTGTCCAAGAACAACGTCACAGCCAGGTCGGGGTGGATCGAGTTGATCAGGATGTATCGTGCGGCTCGATTTCCGATGGTGAATTCCTGTTTCTGCTTCTTGCCTTCCTTCGTCTTTGCCTTCTCTGGATCCGGTGGGTTGAGGCGTCCTCGGGTGACATCCCAGGCAAACGGTTCGCCGTCGAGAACCGATGGGATGATGGTCTTCCAGGCGATGTAGTTCTTCCCGTCAGCAGCCAGGATAATGCTGCTAACCACTCTGGGTCGTGGACCGCATGAGGTTGGTTCGTCTTTGTCGCATACCGGGGCGTTTCCGCCGTCGTCGTCCTCGCCAACTTGGACGTAGCCGTAGAGGGGGTTTTCTCTCGAAGTCGAAGGATTGGACATTGTGGATGGACACTTCACTTCGGCTCACGGTATCACTTATCTTTCTGAGCAACTCGTGCTGATAACGGTGAAGAGATATACGTATCTCGTTGATACCTCGGCTAGAATGATCACACGGAATGCTAGAGTCAGTCTTGGGCTCCCCCTTTTCTGGCTGAGGTTTATTGTCCTTTATATATAGCGAGTCACAGGAAAGGGTTGAACACAGAAGAGCATCCGAATATGGGTCATGCTGAAAAACACTGTGAACGGGTTAAGTGGTGACCGGTCAGTGACCGTTACAGACTGAGGTCTTCAGTATCTAGAGCGGAAGGTGAAACGGACAATATTCATCAATATTGACTGAATGACATTCGATCGGGACCCATCCGTCTTCAAGTATATGAGGCTTGCTTCTCACATGGGCTCCATATTTCACCATTGCTCGTCTTCCTACGTGATCATTATCATAACTCAACCAAATACGGTAGGATTCGTTTTCATCATTCCGATCCGGCACGTGTTCGATATAACGGAGTGTGCCAATTGCACCGTTGACAAGTCCGTCTTCGATATCAATGTTAACTGTCAACAGATACGGGTATCCTTTCGAAAATCTGATTCTATACGGTAATCCTCCTGTGTCTCTTGTTTGCATTCGATGGACTCTTCCTACAGCATCCCGTCGTTCGGTTTCTGTTGAATACCCAGTGTAATGATCTTTCGCGATTATGTCCTCTTGTATCCGTCGACTTGGGTATTATTAAAAAATAGCCGTATCACTGAGTCTGGAATATTGTCTTGGCACCATTGTCGCGACCTGAACCGCGATTGGATCATCTCAATCTCCTCGGTATTCAACTCCTCCCCCGACCCAATCTTTGTTAGAACTGAGGAGAAGTTCGCATCTTTCTGACGAACGATCTGTGTCAGTGGATAATAATCCAATGATTGCCACAAGATTGCTTTCTTTCCCAGATCTTGATTTGTCGCGCTGTATACTGGGGCTGCATTCACAAGTGGAAGTTGCTTCGAATCTCCACAGGCGATGAGATCTAATCCACCAAATACATTGATGTAATCACCAACCATTTGTTGCAGTCGCGAGTTGACCGAGTGGAGGAGATGCGATCCACACATACTTATTTCGTCGATTATCACACATTTGATATTCCGTAAAATCTATATATATAAAAACGTATGTCTGTTTGTCTGTCTGTTTGTCTGTCTGTTTGTCTGTCTGTTTGTCTGTCTGTTTGTCTGTCTGGTGTCACCTATAGACTCGAAAACGGCTGAGCCGATCGTCGTGAAAATTTAGGAGCGTGTTCTGGGCGATCCAGCGGTGGTTATAGGGGGGTCAGTTCTCCGATGCGATGAGTCGTTCTACCTTAAAAAAATTATTTGAGTACTTTTCCCTTGAAAATACGAAATCACGGAAAAAAATTGAAAAATCGCAAATTCGCTAAATTCACGAACGCCTGAACCGATCGCCGTGAAAATTCAGGGGTTGGTTCCCGGGAGCTTCAGGAAAGTCATATGAGGGTCGTCGTTCTCATGTTATGGGTCCTCCCCCATAAAAAATGATTTGAGTGGTCCTCTCACCGAGAATCAAAGATTTCATCAAGGGAAAGACGGGAATTCGATTTTCCGGAGGACATATATCTAATAAAGGCGGGGGCACGGGGGAGGCGGGGAAACGGGGAAGTGGGGAACAGGGAAAGCGGGGAACCGGGAAAGCGGGGAACCGGGAAAGCGGGGAACCGGGAAGGCGGGGAGCCGGGGAAGCGGGGAACCGGGAAAGCGGGGAACCGGGAAAGTGGGGAACCGGGAAAGCGGGGAAACGGGAGAGTGGGGAATCGGGAAAGTGGGGAACCGAGAAAGCAGGGAAACGGGAGAGTGTGGAAACGGGAAAGTGGGAAAACGGGAAAGTGGGAAACGGGAAAGTGGGAAAACGGGAAAGTGGGAAAAGGGAAAATGGGAAAAGGGAATTGGGGAACCAGGAAAGCGGGGAAACGGGAAAGCGGGGAAACGGGAGAGCGGGGAAACGGGAAAGCGGGGAGCCAGCGCACTCGGAGCTAGCGCATGTGTAGTGAGTCTAGCGATACCGAGTCGCCGCGAAGCGGCGACCGGGAGCGCTAGTATGTCGATATGTTTGCAGGGTATCGTAGGACAAACTTTTTGTCTGTTTCGATGTTGTCAAGCGGAAAGCTGAATGAAGTGTGAGTCCATTCAATCCGACCGCTGCTTTTCCTGTTGTTGCTGTGGCGATACATGCATTATTCAATGAGTTATGCTCCTGTGTATATCGGTTGTATGTTTCCATCAATGCTTTCAGAGTGAATGTTTTCCCACAGCCAGCTGGGCCTGTCAGGAATATTTGTAGAGGTTCGCTTCTCTGGCAGTGTATGCGATGTATAACTTCCAATATCAGTTCGCGTTGCTCGGAATTCATCTGTCGGATGAGAGCACAATAATCAGTTTTGCTCATGATGTTATCTCGACGTTTCACTGCGCTGATTGTTGGGCCATTGTCGTATTGTCCAAAATCATCATCATTTGTCACGAAATTCGCATCCATTATCGCTGATGATGGTAGGCTGTCGTTGGAGTCGACTATCTGCTCATTCATACCGCACATTGCCTCTATCTCTTTCATCAGGGAATCGATGTCCAAGTTGTTCTCGAACTCTTTCCGTCGTTCCATGATCAGAGATTCATTTTCCCCGTAGACTTCAAGAAACTTGTCGCGATCGATCACGTCAACGAGTTCACTTCGGAACGGGAAATACAGTGATACCATTTCCCGTTTATAGTTGTACAGGTCCGCTTTATCGTAATTCCGATACCTTATGATTCTCGGTGTTTCGCGTCGTCTATACTCCATACCAATCGTCTCATATTCATCGCTTGAGTCATCATCAAATTCCATCTGATCTCCGTCGACCGCATGCGAAGGAATTTTCTTGGCTGGTTCATACCACGCCGCGAACTGAGCGAGACACACATCCTCCAATGATGACGGACGCTCTTCATACTTTTCTATGATTGATTTCGTCCAAATATCCGTGCTATCAGCTGTAATATTTTGTGCGTCCATTGTCGATCTCCGCTTCTGTGCCTTATGCCTCTCCTGAGGCCACATCGTGGGTATTGTAACTGTCGTCCTCGATGCCCAACTCATGGGTTGACGCAGCAAATACCACGCGGCCTCCTGAGCTGACATCTCGACGCTGTTCAGAAGCTTGAGCCCCACCTTGGACATGAGTTGTGATTGATCATATTCAGGATTCGTTTCATGGATATTCATGAGCTCCCTGTGAAAATTACTCATTCCACGATCGGACTTATTCACATACTCCACAATGTATGCTGCACACGAATAAGGATCGAGGATCATTTGCAGATCCGTATTCGAATTGAGAACCGACGCTATCCAAGGATTGAACGTATTGATAAACGTTTGCGTCATATCTCTCTTGAATATGATGGTCGGACGTTTCAGTGTTGATCGGATCATGGTCAAGTATGCCTCGAGATCGCAATTGATGTCACTCATATAGTCATCGATGGTGTTGTAAACTTTTGATTCGAGTTTATCTCGAGCATTTCTCACTCGTTCCTTCAAGAATTTACGCCGCGGATCTTCCTTGTTCAGAGGAATCAGGATTCGTGTGCAATGCATCGGCCAAAACGGAATGTTGAACCGACAGTGCTTTTCACCGCGTTTCGTACAAGTGAATGTATGGGAGTGGGTCTGATTGCTAATCATATCTTCATCAGGAAGATCGACTTTATCGACGCTACACAGATCCGTTATCAGCTGTAGCGTTCGCGGCATGTTCTCGCTAAGATCCTCAGCAGGATCGTTTTCCACCCACAAAAGAATATGGGCATGAGGGCTTCCCCTATTTTGGAACTCGATTCGTAAGAAATAATCCAGAACTCTATGTTTCCCGAATGGGTTGTACGATTGCTTAGTGCATAATATTGCCATCACGACTCGGAGTAATTTGTGAAAATAAATGCAGCAGGTAACGGGGTCTTCCGCGACTAAGTAAGCTCGTTTGTATCCATCAAGTTTTTCGAATATCTTCGTCTCTTCGATATCGACTCCAAGCGATTTGAACTCATCGGAAAGGTTGTGCAAGACGCGAAGCAAATGTGGCCAACGAATTTCGTTTGCGCTGAGTGTCAAAAATGCTGTTGGCTTCCCAAGTTGCCGTATCATGGCGAATAGATCCTTTTTCCGGGATGCCCAGTATTGAGCAGAGTTGGGAATTGTTCTCAGAAATGCCTGATTGGTTTCAATCAATTGTTCCACGAATTGACGATTTTCGATCATGGATCGTGTTAATTTTTCGGTTGTGCGCAAACACCGATACATATTCTGGATACCATCATGTATTCGCAAGCGAAGTATTTTCATCGCCATGAAGAGAACATGTTGTGGAGTCACTCCCCGCCTATCATTGCGTCGAATCTCAGACATACACATTGTGTATGCTGTGGCCCTCACACCGGCCTTGATATTTCGAGGGACGCCGAAGTATATCGCCGGAAATGACAATTCCTCCGCATAGGTATCAAAAATCAGACTCTCGGATTTTGAGTGCTGTCCCGGAGCAATATCTAAACACGAATCCTCGTTCCACATCATTGTTTGTTGGCGCGAGTTAATGAGCTCGAATTCGTTCGTATCGTGGTCTGTGAGTGATTCGATGTCTTCGTCGTCATGCTCTTCAGTACTCGATATTCGATTGTCCAAATCGTGCCAATCTATTTTGATATCGTAGTGTTTGTAAAGAGGCTGATCGATCAAATATTGCAACCAGGCAATCACGGTTGATTTCTTCACATATCCGCTCAAGTAGGTTGATTTGTGGATTAAACTCTTTTTAAAATTCACGTTGAAAGCATGATCGTCGTCCAAATCTCGAGGTAAACTGTAAACCATGGTTTTGACATCGACCGGGACATTAATTACTTGTCCGATGATTCCGTAGCAACCGTGAGGTCGTAAACGACGGATCTGCATGTGAGGAATTCTCGGGGAGACTAATCTTTCGCTTATCGGATCAAGTTTCGGAAGGCCTGACGGCTTTGGGGGGTACATATACCCATTGGTCCGACTCATCGGCGGAATTTTGTCTGTCCTGCAGGTTTTGTTGCAGGAAGAACAGAGTTTGAATTCTGACGTATTTTCACCCGGGAAATGGTTCGCTAGAAAATGGGCTGTCGAGCTTACGATTGTTTTGAGGTCTTGTCGGAACCATATACGATCGCACACATCGCATTTATGCCCGAAATCGTTTTCGATGAACGTTTTTCGGAATCGAGCGCTCGCGCGCGACCATGCTGACAGGTATTCTGGACCTCTTGTCGGCATAACATTATTTGTCTCCCCAAGTGTCGCATTTGTGTCGGTCGCTGGTATAAATTCTGTATCCGCGCGATCCGTTCCACTCCCTAGAGTCGAGTTCTCTTGACTTTGCCGCCGTTCTCGATTCTCAGTCGAAGTCCCGGTTGAGGTTCGCGGTCTCTTAGGTCGAGCATTGGCAGCATGATCATTACTTCTAGCACGCCGTCTCTGGCGCTGCAAGCTTGCAATCTTAGGTCTCATTACACAGCTCGACAGCCAAATCGTTACAGAGAAAGTGATAGCTATTTCGGGGTAAACTTGGGGCGCCGAATCCGAATTTCGTAACAGATTTTCTCCATCAGGTCCAGTTTTTCCGAAATTTCAATTTTTCGATTTTTTACCGTTTTTCGTCTCTAAAAAATTCTAGCTCCGCCCCTGAGTGGACTAGATCGATGAAACTTCGGTGGCGGATAGAGCTGGGTTGGGGCTATACCTGGCCGAGTTTTGGTGCGATTCGTAGCAGTGGTCTCTGAGCTAGAGCCATCGGAAACTAAAAAAAAGAAGAAAAAAATGGGAGAGGGACCTCCTAGAAAGCACTTGACGGGAAAACTAGGACCTTTGGAGCGATCTGACCTCGACGATTCGATAGAGGAGGCTTTTACGAGCATTTTGAGACCAAGCAGAGCAAAATCGGTCGATCCATTCAGTTTTTATTCGCAAAAACATTGAAAATTTGAAAACGCCTAAAAGTCGGAATTCGTCTGTGCCGACTTTTAAGCTTCGAGTACATAGCCCAGAAGCTCCGTTCCGTGAGCAGACAGAAACTGCTAGCGGGAGTGCTCAACGGGCCGCAGATCCGGCGACTCATGAAGGACCCAAACTTCATCGAATCGATCAACCCGGAGGAAGCCGCCGCCTGGGAATCCTTCGTCTCAGTCGCCACGAACTTCTTGGGGAACACGAGAGCTTCCAACTACGTGGAGTCGGTGCAGAGACTTGTAGAAAGCTTCCGCATTCTCGGATGTAGAATGAGTATCAAGTTTCATTATCTCCACGCCCACCTTGATCTATTCCCTGAGAATTTAGGGTCAATGAGCGACGAGCAAGGCGAAAGGTTCCATCAAGACATCAGCACCATGGAGGAGCGATACCAAGGGAGGTGGGATGAGTCTATGATGGCAGACTATTGCTGGAACCTCATGAGGGAAGCCCCTGATCGACCACATTCCAGACAATCGCTGACGGCTCGATTTGATGCGG